ATATAAATTATCTATGAGGTCCTATTTTTCTAAACAGCAACATAAGGAAGATATGCCGAAAAAAGTGTGTACACACCATCCTCGTTCATCGATAATTATATAAATTGCGGCAGCTATATTTGAACAAGAGAATGCGTATTAAATAGTCATTTCAATTGTAATTTGTATTACAATGACCAAAATAGTACAGTCATCGAGAGAGGTAACATCATAGTAAGGCCAGACGCCCACTGACGAAATGCTCGGCAGGGGATCCATCAGCATCTTACATGCAAGCGCACACTGCCGGCAAATATGCCGCGGTACTCCTTATTAAGCTCAGGCCAGACAGAGGCGGTACAGGGGGAAAGGTCGTCTGGAACAAACCTGCGGGAAGCGATTGCGTCCCAAGCATAGTTCGCGGCGGAATATTGGCCACGTTTCATATTCTGTCGTATGTTGGCCACACTACCTAACTGTCTCTTGAGTCTCTCGGTCCGAACACATTCCATCAAAACGTGGTAAACGTCTTCAATGACCTTAAACATATTGCTTGTAAAGTTTTAAAATTGACATTATAGTTATTAGTGATTGGAACGTAAGAACGCACCACACACCACACCACAGTTTAAACGTAAGTTTTGTACATGATTTACCACTTGAGAAAGTATAGCTTTTCGTTCAACCACATTGATTTTTTAACACATAAAACAAACTCTTCTCTTTTGTTATAAAGCGCCTGTCTAAAAAAAATAGCAACACCGTGTGAAAACGAATCTGCTAATTCAAGTCAATTAGTCGGCTTTGTAGACTTAATAATATGCTCACGTTCCGCTGATGGACACAGGACTCTTCTAACAACCACCACACAGAAGTCCCAAGCATTCTTTCGCGGCGGAATAGCGGCCATGTTTCATATTCTACGCATATTTTAAAGAAAGCAAATATCTTGGTTACCTTTTTTAAAAGTACTTGTCCAAAAGATAACGTTTCAAGTGCTTTTAATTGTTTTTTAAATAAATCTTCAACGTTATTCTATTAGTGCATTAATGATAAATATAAAATTATATCAATGTTAATGACTAATGAACATGTGCAGTTATTAGGATTCTATTAATTGAATTATGGATAACAGATTCCCGTTAGAATTTTCGCTATATTGCCCTCTGGTCACGTCACGTAATAGTACGAGAAAGTGATGGGTAACTCTGCCACTTCACGCACGCATTTGCGCGTGTGCATATAGCGCCTTGTGGTAGTAGTAGGTAAATAACTTTCGACCGTTGTATGTAGTGTTCGGGGTGTGGTTCGGCCTCGGACCACGCCCGCCCCGCCGCGCCGCCGCCCGGATTCAACGCACACTAGTTTGGCGGACTTGGTGTCCCGAAGCCTGCCGAAGCGTTCTCAAGGCTGCCGAAGCATTCCGGAGGCGGCCGGCTCGGTATGCTCGCATGGTTACCTCTTTGCTTTTTTGCAGCCATAATCATTTTCATTGAAGTTTCAACTATAATGCCGTAACATTAAGGTATCATCTAAACATCCTCTGCCGAGTCGTCAGTGCCGTCATTGCCCACTAACGATGATTGCAAGCGTTATAGTGTATGTCATCGATAAAAGAACTTGATATCATAAAAAAGACCCATGCCCATATTTTGTCAAATGAATAGTATAGTTAATACCTTTTTTTTATAACATCAAATGCCGGGACGAACAAGTCGTGCAATTGATGGTAAGCTACACGCCTGTCTATAACGTTCACAGTGCAACTCAGAGCTTTAAATCGCAAAGTTCTGAGGGGCACTTCGACTGCGCCCGTTACCCTGAGACATAAGGTGACAAGTCCCATGTGCCTGTAATTTCACCAACACCCTTCAAAACCGGACCGTACCGTTCAAAACCGGACCGTACCGTTCAAAACCGAAACCAGTAATGCTGACATTACTGCTTGGCGGCAGAAATAGGTAAGTAAGCAGTACTTCACTGGACGAACTCTTTCACAAGGAGATCCTCTGCTGCTAGTACTACTTTTTGAACCTAACTGTACTTAAAATGATAAATTTCAAATTTCTATAGAAATTATATCACATTTGTGTAAATATTAACAACGCAGTTCATATTCAATATCAAATGTTTTCATTTATGTAGGTACAATAAATTAAGAACATGTCCTCGTATATAAACGACGTCAACGCTTTGATGTATGTTTATTCATATTTAAACATCTGTTAAGTAGGTACAAATTAAATTGGAAAAATAAAGATTATCGGATGTTACATGTGATTATAAATATGTATATCTATATGTATCTGTAGTTCCTATTTTTTGAAGCTGAGTAAAATGGTATTTACTGAGTTGCCAGTTTTTGAAAAATTTTAAATATTACAAAACTACGACTCAAAAGTCGTCGAAAACCAAGTACAAAAGATTCGACAACAAGCACATAGAAAAATTCGTGAGGTCCGCTGGTTCGTTCTATGGTTTAGTTGGCATAGCGTCTGACACGGTTTGCTAGAAGACGTCGGCTCGAATTCGGCCGGATTGAAGGATTTTTTTCTAATGTTCGGTCTTTGTATTAATAATCCAGTTAATTTTAGCAGTGAGCGCTGTGTGTGGTTCGTCCACAGGGCGCCAGCGTACAGTGGTGTGCCGTACGCTCTAAAGAGCGTCGTCTTCACTGCAGGAGTACATCTGACGAACCTGCGGGTGAGCATGTTCGCTCTCACCGATATGCGGTAGTGCTCTCCGCTCGCGATGCAAATCCATGTCATTCTTGAGGCCGTCGGTAACATAGTAGGTATAATAGAAATATGTTTCTTCTTCGTATTTTTAATAGATATAGTTCTCAATGCAGTGTATGTATGTATGAAGTTACATAAATTGACGATTCAAATGAATCTGTGCCCAGCGGTTGGACGAATAATGGACCAATGATCATTGAAATGAAACAAGTCCAGGTAAGTACTGTTACCTTACCTATTTCTGTCGCCAAGCACTAATGTGAGCATTCCTGCGTTCCGGTTTCGAAGGGTAAGGGTACTTGTAAAATTACAGGCGTATGGGACTTGTCAACTTACGTCTCAAGGTATCGGGCGCTATGTAAGCTACACGCTTATCCATAACAATTGCAGTGCCACTCAGTGCTTTAAATCGCAAAGATCTGAGCCTTTACACTTCAAAACCGGAGCACAGTAATGCTGACATTACTGCTTAGCGGCAAAAATAGGTAAGGTGGCAGTACTTCCCTGGACGAACTCTTTCACAAGGAGGTCTACTGCTATTATCTTCTTATAGATTTTTGTGATTTAAAGCTCTGAGTGGCACTGTAACTGTTAGGGACAGCCGTGTCGTTTTGGTAAACGACTTGTTCGTCCGGTCACTTAGTATTATGAAAAAGAAATAGAACACTAAATTTTTTTAGTAAATAAAATGCTAAGGCACATTCTGTCGGTCTAATCTAAATGCAATTTAAAACTATTAATAAATTGGTCAGACTCTATTCTTCTTCTTCTTGTCGTATTATACACTATAATGCTTGCCATTGTGACGAAAGGATTTACCAATATTCCTAAGATACTCGCCGAATGTTGCCCAGTGTCACATACAGAAAATTAACCGACGCTTCACCACGTTACACCACTCAGTCTGTCGTATGTTGGCCACACCGCCCAACTATCCTCTGAGTCTCTCGGTCCGAACACATTCTATCAAAACTTGGTAAACGTCTTCAATTACCTTAAACATATTGCTTGTGAAGTTTTAAAATTGACATTATAGCTATTAGTAATTGGAACGTAAGAACGCACCACACACCACACCACCGTTTAAACGTAAGTTTTGTACATGCTTTACAGCTTGAGAAAGTACAGCTTTTCGTTCAACTACATTGATTTTTTAACACATAAAGCAAATTCTTCTTTTTTGTTATAAAGCGCCTGCCTAAAAAAAATAGCAATATCGTGTGAAAACGAATCTGCTAATTGAAGTCAATTAGTCGGCTTTGTGTTCTTAATAATATGCTCACGTTCCGCTGTTGGACACAGGACTCTTCTAACAAACTTAGAAAATATTAGACGAGAGCTATTTAAAGTATTTTTATTAGAAAAAGAAAAACTACTCCAATTTTATTTGTTATGGAAAATCTCAAACTTCCTTTTACTTTCGATTTTCATTTCTTAAAAAATAAACAATATCTCTCTCCTTGTAATACTTTCCAAATGCACGTTAGACGTTTTACCTTTCCAGCTTGTATACCTAATCAAGCTTTTGAAAATAAACGAGCTTCTTCCGGAAGACAGTTGTTGTATTACGTCTTCTTTTTTTCTACTTTTTTTGTTTTAATATCACATCAGTGGCAGTTGGCATGCCTGATAGTTAGGCAAGCTGGGCTTTTGTGAATATTGGCGGTACCGTCACTGCTTCCATAAAAAAAGAACATGAGTATATAACCAGCAATACAATATTGATACATCATTTATAAATATCAACACTCGTTTGCACTGAAATCACAAATTAGAAAGCTGAAATAGTACACCGCCAACAACTGACCTGTGTGTACGTCTCCGTATATTCCAAAAATGTTCTGTATTTATTGTAATAAAGATAATATCTCTAACAATGGCGTGCTGTTCGGTGGTGTGGGGAAAAACAGCAAAACATCTAATTACAAAACGGTAATGAAATATAAAATATGTAATTTTGCAATTTTCGTGCATTATAGCGTAGCTCAAATTAACTGGTCGATTTGAAGTGAAACAATTGACGACACCCGTCAATTGTTTCGAATACGGGCTGGCCAATCGGAGCCCAGTTGTCACAGTAATGATATGGCAGAATAATTTGCAAACAAATTAAATGACATTTTGTCTCTATTTCTGGTTATATACTCGATGAAAAGAATTATCAAGTCGGTTCACAAAAGTCAGAGTAAATAAATATAGTCAAATTGACATCTTCTCCTTTTTTTTAAAAAGAAATAAAATAAAATAAAACAAATTCAATAATTCGTATTTATTTGTAAAATAAACAACTGCTTAATTATTTACACGTTAGTTCGGGGTTGGTGCATCTCTCAATAATGAAGCCCTGCACTTTCGGCGGCACTCAACTTCATTTTCGAAATTGTTCTCATTGCCTTGGCATCCTCCGTAGGAAAATACCAGACAATCTTTCGCCTTATTGTCCCAATAGTACCTGAAAAAGGGCATTAAAAACAAACCTATTAGAATGTGTTTTAAACATATTCACACCCTTAGGGCGTATTCACAAAACGCTTGTAGAAGTAATTTTTAGTTCGCTAATTGTGAATGCATTATAACTTTTATAAAAGAAAAGACCTCAACAATTCGTGGAGTTGCACATATTGGCTGGAAAGTGCGAAATCGTATTTATCCCCTAGTTTGCCGCTCTTAGACGTGGAATATTTTCCTCACATTTAAATGGGACCAATACTGAGGTAACAACAAAAAAAGAATTATCAAAATCGTTTAACAAATAGCCGGAGTAATAGCGTAAAATTTACACAAAAAAATAGAGTCAAATTGATAATCTACTCCTTTTTTGAAATCGCTTTAAAAACACAGACACGACAGCAGTGCTGCAATTTTCATAAAATATTTGGAGCGCAGTTGCAGCGCCACCGCCCGGTAAAAAGCCGTGGTAGCCTAATAGTTTGACGTACCGCCTCTCAAGCAAGAGACCGTGGGTTCGAATCCGGGCTTGCACCTCAGAGTTTCTCGGAATTAACTTGCGAAATTTAATTTGAAATTTACCATCATTTTACCATAAGTTTTTCGATGAAGGAAAACATTAACATGAAACCTATACGTCGAAAAAAGTTCTTTTTTCTTGTGGTTTTTTGTGTCAAGTTAATATAAAAAATACGTGTTTTCAATTGGCAGATTTTGCGATTGGGTAGAAACAACTTCGAAAGGGCAGCCAAGAGGAGGATTCAGCTTGGCTGGGCAGCGTTTGGTAAACTACGTGGAGTATTCTCATCACCTATATCGCAAAGTATATCCCAGCAAACTTTAACAATATTTTGGATTTTACATTTGTATGTTTTATGTTTTTGTGCGTGTGGCAAATAAATGGAAATTGGAATCTGAATTTGAAAACGAAGCTTTTCAATCAATGCGTTCTACCTGTTATGACATACGGAGTCGTGATGTGGACACTCATGATTCGATTAGGTCACCAGTTGAAAGGCACTCAGTGAGCTATGGAACCAAATATGCTCGGAGTTTCTTTGAAGGACAAGATACGGAACGAGGTTATCTAGACAGAGAACTAACGTCGTCGACATAGCTGGTAGAATAAGCAAGCTGAAATGGCAGTGGGCTGGCATATATGTCGGAGAACGGATAACCGATGGGGGAAACGAGATCTTAAGTGGAGATCACGGTTCGGAAAACGTAGTGTAGGACGCCTTATGGCCAGATGGAGTGACAATTTGCGAAGGGCTGCTGGCAGCAAATAGATGCAACGAGCTGTGGACCGAGCGAAATAGCGCGCATTGGGAGAGGCCTATGTCCAACAGTGGACTACGATAGGCTGTTGATGATGATGATATGTTATCAATTCTTTTTTGTGGTGGTCCTCAGCCCACACCTGAGTGGAGAGTCGTGCACAGCAGTGGAACGTAATAATAACGATGATAGCAGTGGCGCCGCGGCAGCACTTCACACATATCATTAAATTGTTTTGCAGATGTGTGCAGGTTTCCTTTTCCGTAAAGATCATGGTGAATTTCAAATTGAAAAAGTTCCAAAAAAACTCTGAGGTGCAAGCCCGGATTCGAACCCACGATCCTCTGACTGAGAGGCGGTAGGTCAAACTGTTATCACTAGCACAGCTTCAACTTAACATAAATAAAACAAACTCACCTTTTAAAATCACTGCGACATGGCCCGGTTACCGGAGGCAAATTACAAATATCTCTATCCGTTGCTGAAAAGAAATAATAAACTTGTGCAATTATTAAAAATTATCAACGTGTGTAACATAAAGGTCAGTACGATAACTAGGTGACCTAAGATAATTAGGTTGGTCACCTAGTTCTCGTAGAGATAATAACAGACTGTTTTATTTATTTATTTTATTTATTCAATCATTTATTGTACAGAAGAAACAAAAACACATTCAGTAACAAGGAAAACACAAACAACAGGTTCTGCTTATTCGTAACAGAAATTTCTTCCAGCAGACCTAAATACAGGAGACAATAATTACAATAATCATTGTCCGTCAGAATGGCTGGACCAAACGAGATATACAAATCAAACTGTTCTCATTATTTACTATCGTTCTACTATTTAGTACCTTTTCAACTGACATATTTTCTACCTTAGCGCTAACGGAAATATTAAAGACATAAAGTGGCCAGCCATTTTGATGTCAGGTTGGCTGACCACTTTACGATTTTCATGGTCTCTATATCTCGCAGTATATATAATTTACTATTTTTAAATAACTATTTCCTACCTAATTTCTACCTAAACATACTCTTTTCCACCATTTTAGGAAGATTTTTAATTTTAAGGATTTTAATTTAATTTTTGAAAGATTATTAATTTCGGAATATTTATAAAAAGATATTTAAAAAATGCGGAAACGCCTTTGCAAAAGTTATCTTCTAAAAAAGAGTTTATCTTCTCCGTATAATTGCTAATAATATTTTTGAAGGCGCTTTACATATTCCAACTATAGTTTCTGGATTATCTTTACAAGCAATATTTTATAACAATTATTATACTAAGTACTAGTTAAATTCACTATTACAAATACAAATTCCATTTATAGATATTAAGGAATGCGAACAAATTATAGTCAGTTACGTTCGTTTAGTTGTTAGGGTTTGTGTGGGATGACTATACAGTTCTAATTTCTGTTAGTTGTATATTTAATTCCTTAATCCAACTTCTGCAGTCTACGTTTCTGTTGATAATGTACAACTTTCCCCTAGACCAGTTGCTTGGTAACGTACAAACGTCAGTGGTGGTAAAGAAAATTTGTAACGGTGATTAAATCGAAATTGAATAAATACACATATCTAAAGTGTCTAGGGATCAAGCACATTTTTGCTAATAAATTACACTGGCGCAACATGGAAGCGTCGCGTCGTGTCCTGTTTATCAACTATAACACAAGGCGATGCGCGAAACCGCTCGATTTCAACCAAGCGTCGATGCGCGAATCCATATTTGCATTACACAAATTTGTACCTTACTAATGGGAAAATAGAAGTAAATATGCTATAGGCGAAAAACATGACGCGTCGCGATGCTTCGACTCTGCGCCAATGTGAGTTGAGCCTAAAAGAGCAGCGGCCGGAGGAGCATTTTTGGTGCAAGGTATTACTTAGGATTTTGAATCTTATCTTCTAAAGAAAAAGTTCAAATTTATTTAAAGTGATTAGAAATGTATAGTGCAACACCGAGAGCAGCCGCGAGGACTCATGAGACTAGTAGCGACTAGTTCAAAGAGTACTAAGCTCCTCCAACCGCTGCGCGCCTCTGCTCTTGCAGTGTGACTTGGCCCTTACTGAAAAACAGGTTTCTTAATGAATTTTTTTTGACACCAATAGGTTTTTTTTTTGTTCAATTTGATTTTCAAAAACAAGTTATAAAATTGATCAAAGAAATACATTGGTGAAAAAAATAATTTTAAATTTTTATTTCAATTAAAGCTTACAAGAACTCTGGATTAACCTCCAACCCTTCGACCAGTGGTGCTAGGTTATTTTTCGCCATTTAAGCTGTTTCGAGGGGTCGTGTGGCGCCAAAAAAGCTATTGGTGGTTTTGCATATTTAGGCTACTTTTTAAATAGGATAAGATAATTTTAGGCTACTTAATAAAATGTCTGGGGAATTACAAATCTGATCGGAGAGTTTGTGGGAAATGGAGAATAAGAACAATTTCAAACAATTCGTATGAGGCTTTGAGTAGATTCCTATTCCTTACATGTAGAGTCACATGGAACTCAGCTCTTCTTGATTTTTGGCGATTTTAAATAATTAGCATTGGCAACACTGGCTTGGGGGAATATCGACTACTTAGCTTACATGTACTGGCGAATTAACTTCGCAAAAGTCTGGCAACACTGCCTTCGACAAACCTGTACTATAGTACCGGCACGCTATGGTGGCCGTTTTAACGCATATTAATAATTTTAACAAACTAATGGATTTATGTCCATTGAGATTCACTTCAAATCACTTAGTTTATGTTTATAAAATCTATACGAGATGTCTAGATACAATTTGGCATTAATGTCTCAGCTGCTTACCAGCATCCAGCTAAGAAAGTAACATAACCGACCAATCTTTTGCTAAGGTCTTTTGTAAGAACACTACATAAAAAATGTTTATAGTTTTCCACTAAATGTGCCTATGTGTGTTTTGAAATCTATACACACACTTTTTAATGTGTTACCTATTTTATTTAAAGAATCATATCACGCGTTAATAATGACTTGTACACGTTGTAAAAATTTAAAATGAAATGAAATTATTATCCGTGATGTCTAAGGAATTGTCATAAATTTATTTAAATAGCCACTTACTTTTGTCACTGAAAATTGCAATAACCTGCAAAGAAAAAATAAAGTTATTTTTTTTAAGATAATAGGTGATGAGACGAACAAGTGTGCGTAGCAAATCAAATTTTAAAACAAAACAAAAATAATTGCAATAGCGTGACTATGGAACAGCAACCTGGAGCACATGAAATTACAAATTGGTCAAATGCAACTATGCAAGAGATCACGAAAATTATGGATAATTTAAAACCTAACCAGATGTTTTAATTAAAAGAAATCCTAATAACACCTTAAGCCATACTGTATTTCGAAAGAAAACCCATATAGATAGGTATCTCAAAGGTAATTTCCATCACCATCCTAGCCAGTTAGCTACCGTGGGCAAATTTTTGTTTCAGAGAGCACATGGTGTCTGCGACAGTAATCATCTGGCAGGGGAACTTCAGCATATAAAGCAAGTCCTACATGCGAATAAGTTGAAGATTCCACGCCAATGTCGCAGGCCCCGTGTGAAACCACCAAAAGTCGAGCGAAGACCTGCCATCTTACCTTACGTGAGAGGTGTTACAAACAAGATCGGAA